TTTCAGCCTGCTGTCTGTTCTTAGCATCCAAAGGATCTCCAAGGAGACAACTCTACTGAAATCACTGCAACTCAGCCAACTCTCACCTTACTTAACCTTACTTGCTCAGAAATTTAATAGTGAAGGTCCACCCTGCCTTACTTGTTGCATCTGGCCAGACTTCCAGGATGCCACATTGTACCCCATTCTTTCCATCAGAGATGTCTTAGGCCACATTGTGCATCCATGCAGTACATAGGATTCAGTTTCTTTCTGGTGACTTTATTTGGCTCTCTTGACATATATTGTCTTTCCACGTAGGTCCCTCCCAGTCTGATCTTATTTCATTTGGTCAAGGTCAGACTAGCCCTTTCAGAGTTGAATACTTTCCCATTCCACTCTCAATATTTCTAGTCTTCACAGTTGCATTTTGTCATCTTCACCATGTTTTAGCTAAACCCCCTTCCTTTTGATGCCACTTTTCCATTCATTCCATGCTGTTATTCAATTTGGTTTCCCAGGCTGATCACTAAAGCTTCAAATGCAATTTCAGCATCTACCATTTCTGTGCATCTAGGACAGTGGTTCTCAATCTTGTTAGACTCAAGGCACCCTCAAAAAGCTTTCACTCATTTTTCAAGTGTAGGAAAAACCCCAGAGCAATTCTGTTACAAAGAACTCAGAAAGATCACAGTAGGTCATGTTTTTAATACTGTGGATTCCTACTGAAGTCTCTGGGTTTATCTTGTGAATCAAGTTTGCACACCAGAGTGCTAACAATGTGTGGCACTCAGAGGCACCCTTGAAAGGCTCTCAAAGCAATCTAGGGCAGCAGTTCCCAAACTCTGATACACTGAGCATCATCATTTTAAAAGGATACAACCTTAAGTACCACCAGCAAATGTTTCAGTTCAACTTTAAGTACCACCAGCAAAATTTGTCATATAATTATAATAAATCTGTTAACAAGTACCACTGACAGGTTGTCTGCATACCGCTGGTGCAGACTGGGAGCTGTTGCCCTAGGATATCGCAGCAACTTAGTTGAGAATCACTGGTCTAGGATCAATCTGTACTTCAAAGATATGAAGCCCTTACTTTCGTTCACAAGTAACTGTGAAGTCTTTGCACCTTCAATAACCATTCTATATTCCAGCCACAGGTTCTCTCTCTAAAGGTTTAAATTGAAGCCCAATGATTTTGAGTCACTCTGCTTGCAATTTCCTATTGTCTACAACAGACCCCCACCCAACCAAACTCCTGAACCGTTAACTCCCAACGCAGGTAAGCATTGCCATATTTACTCAAATCCAAGATGAGCCCCCTCACCATCAGCATAGGAGGGGGAAAAAAATCTTGTTGCACATTTGAGCATAGCCCAGAGTAGGCAGCAGCTCAGTTCCAGCTTTAGCCCTGGACTCAGGGCTGAAGGTGAAGCTGAATCACCACCTGTCCTGGGCCACA